ATATACAAATATTAACTTTGTATTGATTACTGCAATTGTAAATTAGAAGTTCTAAGTTGTTGTTGATCCAAACGACAATTCCTGATTTTCTGAAAAATAAATTTGAATAGCAAAAACAAGATTGTGGATGAAACGATTTTTAAGTATTCATAATAGAAAGTAATCTGTGTGTGTGTGTGTGTCTTCCTTAATTTGTATACATAGTTAAGCCCACGTTCAAGGGACAGAAAAACTCTTGTCAATTTTCATCATTTCTGCCACGTTTCATGATGAAATAACTATTTGTATGGTTGCTAATGAAGTTTCAATACTGCGTGGGTGTTAAAGGTCCATCTGTATCTTAGCTGAATGGTGTGCAATATTACTAGGAAGAGCATTATGGGTAACTTTTTATTGGTCAGATTTCTTTTATTAATTATTATTTTAAGGTTTTATCGAAATTTTGTCTAAAGAAAAAGTCTCGTCAAAAGAGAGTAAAAATTCAACCATAATTATTTGCTTTCACACGAAAGATAATTTGTTTTGCTACAAGCTAGCACACGGTTTTTAGGCAACCCTTCCTATTTGCGTAACTCATTCAGCATATTGTATATTTTATGTACGAGGAAAGTTGGGTAGCTGCGGAACTATAGTTTGTTATAAATTCGGATCGGAAATGGTTTCACATCAGAATATCTTAAATGTGATAAATCCCATTTATTTTAATTATAAAAAAAATTAATGTAATACCTTAAATGAACTTTGATTAATAGTAATAGTTATGTTTTATTTTGAATAGAGTGAATTTTTTTACACAAAAAAAGAGTTAGATGTAATTGATCAAACTGTAACTCCATGTTTCAAAATCCATAATCTATTCCATAATTCAAGTGAAGTTATGAAGTTTGTGATAGTTATAATTAAAAGTCCAAAGTCGTATAAGAAACTTTTTATGTAAACAAAATAATCTTTATAATCGATACAGTTGGTTTTATTGAGTAAATAACAACGTGAATTGTTCATTTTGTTTCCCATTTTCCGTGTTTGTTGTGAACGTTAAACAGGTTAAACAACAAGACCAATTTACAAAGGTGTGCAACAGATGTGTTATTTGACAAAATAAATAGATAACGAGAATAATATATTTGGTTTGACAATATCGTTGTTTCTGTGAACAGTATGTATTATTTTATTGCTGTTTTTTATGTTTCAAGAAACACGTTCTGTGGATTCATTTAGAAGGTAAAAACACTGGTAATAACATCTCCAATATTTTGTTGTCTTTTGTGTTTGATGGAAAAAACTTTGTCAACATTTTGACAACCATATATTTGATGTATATATTTTAAGAACTTTCATGTAGCCTGCTTATTTGAGTCAGCAGCTGTAGCATTTTTTGTGTGGCAACCTTCATGTGACTGTAGGCGAATTTTGATCTGAGTAACCGTAACCAACGTAAATGTCTAGGCCTGACACTGTCATAAATATATTATATAATTAACGTTAAATAAATAACTATTGTGCTAGGCTTGTTTTGTTTTGACTAACGTAAAAAGCTAGAACAAAAAAGTGGAAAACTTGTATCACGAAAAATGATTGATGTTAAATAGATGTTTTAAATGTACCCAACGTTTCGGGCTGGGACTCCCTTCCACCGTTGATTAACGGAACCAAATCACAGAACTTAATTAAGAACATACAATCTAGGCCTAACACTGTGATATCTAATTAACTGAAAATAAATTGGGTATCGTAAGCACGTTTTGCTTCGACTAGTATAAAACCTAGGCCTAACACTGTGATATAATTAAATGAAATGAGTGGGAGTTAATTGCAACTCACTAAGCTTACTTCTTGTTGCGACACATACGTGATTCGCGGAAATCCATTAGATATATATATTTTTAATGGTCCCAAACAGGTTTTCAAAGAGTTACATACATTTCGCTCAATAACTAGTTGGTGAAGCATAACACCTTTTCAGAATAATAAGTGTAATACCGCGTGCCTGTGTTGTTGTTTTTTAATCAGAATTTCCATAATAATTTCAGTAGGAAATTAGTAGGAAAAAACGAGTACAATTATTTAGGGAAAAAATCAATATTAATATTTGTCGCCATAGTAAAAACAATATAAGGAGGGGGAGAATATACTTGTTCAAAATGCGCTTAGCTTTTCGCACTTATATTAAATATTCAACCAGTCGCTTTTAAGTCTCAGTCAGTTTCAATAAGGAGCATACGAGCAGCGGTTTTCTGACACACTGTACCAGGAAATCTAATAATACAGCCAAATCTAGGTTTTAGATCGCTTAAAAACGGGAAATGATTGATAAAAAACCTGATGGAGGGTTGGGGGGTAACTAGTAATAGCTTCATGATAGCGCCGAAAGTGCTCTCTTACCTTATTCGACTGATACACTATCCTACCAAAAGTCATGGGACACACCTCTGATTGCAGGAAATTGGATGTTTTGACGAAATATTCAAATAGTTTGGCCCAAAAGAGTGATCAGCGGTTCGCTCGGAAGTCATTTCGAACTGTATGCCGAACGATAAGTACTCGGAAAGAGCTAACAGAGGTTCAAAGTGGAAGGATAGTTGGATATCATTTGGGGAAAATATCTGTACGTGCTATTGCACATCAATTAAACATTCCCAGGTCGACAGTTGGCAATTTGCTGAAGAAATGGAAGTTCACAGGTGACAATAAGCCCAAGAAACGACCAAGTAGGGGTAAAATACTGACTGACAGGAGCCGACGCGTCTTGAGTAGGCTGGTTATCTCATCTCGCCATCAGACTCTAGAGAATCAGTGTTTGGAGTTACGAGCAGTCACAGGCAATCCTATAAGTGTTTCCACGACACGTCGAGAGGTGCATGTCATAAATTTTTACGGAACAGCTGTAGACCACAAGCCGTTGATAACAAAAACAAATGCACACCATCGACTGACATTGGGCAAGGCATACCGAACCTGGACCGTGAATCAGTGGAAATCGTGCGACGAGTCAAGCTACACGCTCTTCCAGTCAGGTGGACGTGCTTGGGTATGGAGGATGCCTGGAGAACTCTTATTACCTAAGTGTGTTGTCACAACAGTGAAGTTTGGAGGTGGCGGTATCATGGTCTGGGGGGTGCTTCTCGTGGTATGGACTAGGTCTACTGGTCATAGGGCATGGATGGATCCATGAATGCTGAGTCCTACATTGATGCCCTGAACAATTCTGTGTGCCCTACATTGTGTCAATTATATGGTACCGACCCTTACACTTTCCAACATGATAACGCTCCATGTCTCAAAGCAAAGAATGTGAACACGTAGTTTGAAGACAATAACATCGAAACATTGCAGTGGCCAGCACAGAGCCCCGACCTCAACCCGATAGAACATATTTGGGATGAACTGAAACGCAGAATTATGGTAAGACTAAGATGGTCCTCTTCAGTAATGGAGTTTACTAATGCTTTGAAGGAGGAGTAAAACACAATACCATCAGCTTTCTACCAGAAATGAGTAGAGAGTCTTCCAGGACGCATTGAAGCAGTCATTAAGGCCTAAGTCGGGCCAACACGCTATTAATTTCTTGGAATAAAGACATGTTTTATTCATAACTACCTGCGTCCCATGACTTTTAGTAGGATAGTGTATGTGCTATTGACGAAAGTATACATAGGATACATAATTCAAGCAGTGCGCTATGTTATTAGTGTAAACCTTGGTTGTTAGGTGTATTGTTATTGAGAAACTACGAAAATTCGCGAATTGAAATTATCAAATTAATCAAAGATATTACAATGTATCCAAAGCTTTTTATTTCACTTGTACTTTGAACTGCAATTTGTTTGCACTGTCACTGCACGATACTTGCCTGGAAGTTGTGAAATAAGCCTCATTTTGTTGATGTAATATAAACATAGTAAGGTGCAGAATCATACACGGACATTTCTTTAAGGTAAAATACTTTTATTTGCGAGCTTTTGGCCCTCTTACCGGAGCCTTCATCGGGCAACAATGTACTAAGGCCCTCAACACATTGTTGCCCGATGAAGGCTCCTGTAAGAGAGCCGAAAGCTCGCAAATAAAAGTATTTTAACGTATAGAAAAGTCCGTGTATAATTCTACATATTAATTCACCTACGTTATGAGTCTTAAACAACAACCATAAACATCGTAATACTGCGTAAATGCATATTGTAATATGACTAACAGAAACAAAACCTACATTTGTTTAAAGTGGTGATATGCACGTGCTTCCTCATACAATTATTTTTTTAGATTTGATGTAGTAACATTGAAATAAAAATAAGTAAATTTACAGGTATAAATACGTATAGAGTATGTGAAGAAGTAATACAATTTAGATATCCTATTTATTGCAGTAGATTTGTTGTTCATATGTATATAATTATTCTAAAATATATAAAGACTTGCACTATTCGAAATCTGATGATTAGCGTGCCGGGCTGCGGAACTAACATCAAAGGTTCGAATCACGATATTCTACTAGACATGTTTCGCACTTTCAGTTGTGAGGACGATATATCCAAAACAGTTAAGAGTAGCTGTGTAGGTGGCGGGTGCTGTTAATTAGTTATCCTCTTATTAACTGATCTAAGCTAGAGATGGCTAGTCTCTATCCTGGCCATTTAGCCCATGTTTGGCTTAAATTGTAGTTATGGTTGTAAATACTAAATTTAGTTTAAAGAAGACAAAAGTTTTAATTTCTGGTACTTTTTTGCGGTTTTTAAGTATTAAAGTCATACTTACAATTTTGAAACCCTGCATTACACAGACTTTGTCGATGGGTTACAAACTGCGTTCCACTTGTAGCTCTTTCTTTGTTCAGCAAAAAATCATAAACTCAAGAATGAAAAAAAAAAACCTGTCATACTTTAAATATTCTCCAAACATTCTAACTAGCGATCGAAGTACTGCATATTTACGTATTAAATAAAGTTAACAGAATAACGATTTTTATTTCTGTGGTTCCTTAATTAAAAGGAGAGTTTTTTTTGTAGGTTTTTCTCGTCATTTAGCTCATAATACAAAGATGCCCTGTCCTTTTGTTGCCCGTTTACCAGCCTCTTTCCTCCGAAACTATGGAGGTTCTCTCGTGAAGACGTATATTGAATATTGTCCATTTATGGCTCGTTTCGTGTCCACCGTGTCGAGTGCTCCCGCTGGAGATGCGCCAGGTAGGAACTACATTTGGTAAGGTAGTTGTATATACGTGATTAAAAAAATATATATTGATTTTATAGTTTACTGACAATCGCAAAATGTTTGTGTCCTGATCATGCCAGATTTTTAAAAGTTGAAATACTTAGAACAAAGTATATTAGATTAAACATACACTTCTTTGCTTGTATTCCTTATACAATTAGTTTTTAAGGCTTTCACTATACGTTTAAACAGGGTCATGTTGGAAACCATCGAACTTGTTTCTGAAATTCGTTAATATCTTTGGGAAATGCGAGAGGTGACAAAGGCAAAGGTTATTAACACCACATTTAACTAGCTATCTTTTCCAGTATCCTTAAATGCCAAGGTTTGGACTTCTTCTGTCAGCACTGTGTTCTGAATGAATAGCCATGACCTCAATATTACAAGATATCAAAGCTGATTTGGTGTATATATATAGCCTATGTTGATTCGATGTTGAAACGATTACAAGGGAGCTGGGTTTTTACGCGAAAGAAAATAAAAATTATTTAATGTTGCTCAACTTTTTTTATGTATCTTGTTTCTGTGTATCTAGGATATGGTAACAAAAGCGATTAAAAAGTAGATATTTTATGGCTTCTTTCTTTTTCTTCAACCGTGATATTACAAGTTCTCTCCGTCCTTCATGAAATAATATTTTACATCTTATTCTTTAAAGGTAGAATTTATAAAAGATGAGAAAGTTCATATTTCTCCTTGAAGACTTTTCAGCATATTCCTGGTACACACAAAAAAAGACATTTATCCAAAATTTGGCAAGTTAAATGACATGCTCCTATGTTTATTGTGTGTTAGATATTCACGACTGTTTCCCTTTAAGTTTAATACGAGAGTTAGTATTTAGATAGTTATATAGTGAGAGTGTTAAATTTAGCTACTTTTAGAAGCGATAGTTTATCGTAGGCTTGTTTACGTAACTATTTACGAATCATACGTTGTGTAGTTCACTTGTTGTCAATTGGTGATTGTTGTATTACTGTGTCATGCTACTAGAACCTTCTAAGTTTTTCTAGTTTACTGTTTAGTTACTCAACGTTAGTGGGATAGCAACTCATTTGTATGGATAACAGTACTCGGTAATCTGACCAGCTTACATGTTTGATGTTCACCAAGTAATTTCAGTTCTCTTAAATTTCATTAAGTTTTTGGATCAGTAAAATATTTTCATGGAACAAAACAGACATTTATAGTTGACCTTACGTAATAGTAGGAGGCATAGTGTTTATTTTATTTTTTTACATTTGCGTTCTTAATTTAGCTCAACAAAAAGGATGTCCCTTTCTGGATGCCGTCAAGCCCACCTTAAAAGTTGCTAGTCCAGAAACGGAGGACGATATCATTGATGTGGCAGCAGATAAATCCAATGGTAAGCAAATGACTGAAGAACTGTTATATTGTAAAGCAGTAGGCCTGATTTGTTACAGTTCAGTATTTGTGAAAGTGTTGTATCTCGAATCACACGGGATTCTTTACATGTTGGAATCTGACTTTGTACGAACCAACATAGGTACAATTAATTAAAAGGCAAATTACTGATTTACTTACTCAGTGCAATAAAGTACATTGTCGCAAGTGCAGGGAAACATCCTGCTCTTTCTCCAAGAAAACACTGTCAAAGTCATTATATAAAGTACGAAAGATATTTTAACCAACACCATTTATCCCATACAGTATAAAAAATATTAACCTTTAGTGGACGTTGGAAAAAAACCCATAAATCTCCTACCAACACAGAGAGACCTTCCCAATGAACTTGATCATTCCTTCTGTGATTTGGTTCGCTTGTTTAACAAGCGAGGTTTACACCTAATCAGAAAGACAGATAAAAGAAAGGTAATGAATTGCTATTAAAAAACTGATCATCCTTATGGCATCAATCTTGATTACACAAGAAGCGATCTTCGACAATTATAACTTTTCAGAAAAATATTAGTTTTTGTTTGTTTTCACTTACAAAGTTTCATCATATTTCAACCTGATTTTTTTTCTAACTCTAATAATTTTTTCACTTTACCATAGAGTTCTAATTAAACAATTTAATCACTTTTTGTCTTTCTACGTATCATTTTTTAATTAGTTCTTGTTCTCCTTATCTTATTTGCAGTTTATCTGTATAACAATTTAATCCATAAAATTTTCTCTTTTCAATCATTAATTTTTCCCTACCGCCTTTACCATTTCTGTGTTATTCATACCCCTTTTCTTCTCTATCCCCCGTTCTCCAAATACAGAAGGTCATTATCACACCTGCAACATCCTTTTGTCAAAGAAACATAAATACCTCTCTGTTCTCAGGCTGGGTTGCTATATATATATATACACACTTCCCTCTCATTCCCATTTCATGCCAGAAGAGCAATCACCTTCGATACGTTATCGTGTTGCTAAGTATTTATGTATTTTCGTAAAATCACTCACGCTACATGTTACTGATTTTTTTAGTGAACTGTGTATTAAAAAAATATGAATTTTGTTTCACTCACGCCATACAATTAATTAATACCGTCTCGTAAGTTGAAACAACAGAAAAGATTGGTTTTCTGTAACTTTTACACAATTACTGACTTGCGTTTGAGTTATTTAGGCGCTAGAGGAAATTAAAATTTGTATCAGAATGCAGTGAAATATCTCGTTAAACACAGAATCAATTATGAATATAGGCCTTGATGCAGAAAAATAGGTCAGCCATTACAGTTACCTTTAGATGTTACCATATAAATATATATATATGTATATATAATTTTCTTCATTTGTAATTTCTGGCTGAGTTACCATACAGGTGCCCTACTTATTTGACAAGAATAGCTTGCTCCAAATAAATGCTAATTTATTATTCTATCAAAATAGCCGTTAAAAAGTGTTTTTATTTTTATCACTATTTAATTTTGCTGCTGACTTAGATTGTCGTGACATATAAACCCATAGACTCTTATGAATAGTTTTGAAGACTAATTGAGGGGTGAGTAAAGTACATGAAATTTAAGTATTCTGTTTTTCCATGTTTATTTTACTTGAGAAGAATTGTTTAAAGTTTATTATTAATTTCGGTTTCAAAAGATGTTGTTTTTTTCATTGGTATATAATTTTTTTTCACTCAGTATCGTGTTTAGAGCTATCCATTTAATAGATAAACAAGAAACTGTAACCTTTCTTGAAACTGCAGAATAATAAAAGTGAAAAGGGTAATATATGTATTTTGATCACTTTCGACTGTAGAAATAGTTGTAACTAATTACAGTAAATTGTATTAACTGAAAACGGAAACCTAACAGGATTTGAAACCGTCGTATCCAACTTTCTGACATGCACTCAAAACAACGTTTCTTCAGAAGAATTATAGTAGTTATGTATTCAAATAAATGTAATTATTAGCAATTTACACTATTTTTGTGTACCTTGAGTATTTTTCATAGTTAGATTAAAGCTGGAGTAGCACTTATAGATGGGAGAAAATGGTAGAAATTTAAGATATGCTTTGATAAATATATATGTGTGTGTGTGTGTGTAAAGAATAGGAAGAAGTAATAGTAGTGTAAAATAGCAAGGTTAAACAAAAGCAGCACATGTTAATTAAAAATACAAATTACTCATGAATTACACGAAAAGCATATAGGGGACACTGTTCAGTATACCAAGTGTTGACCACCAATAATTAAAACAGTTTTAAAGTTCACTGAACAAGAAAAACCAGTGAATGTTGTTCAAGTGTTACACAGGATTGAGCTCAGGTAATCAAGACAGTTTTGGAACTCGCTGAGTAAAGCGAAGCAAGGGATGTTGTTCAAGTGTTACACAAGGTTGAGCACATGTAATGAAAACCGTTTTAGAACTCAATGAGCAAGAAGAAACAAGGATTGTTGTTCAAGTGTTACACAAGGTTGAGCACAGGTAATCAAAACAGTTTTAGAACTCGCTGAGCAAGAAGAAGCAAGGGATGTTGTTCAAGTGTTACACAAAGTTGAACACATGTAATGATAAAAAAATTTTAGAACTCGCTGAGCAAGTAGAAGCAAGGGATGTTGTTTAAGTGTTACACAAGGTTGAGCACAGGTAATCAAAACAGTTTTAGAACTCAGTGAAGAAAAGAATAGAGGGTGTTTAGTTATTATGTTATCTATAGAACTGAACAAAAATTACTGATAGAAACAATAAAATGAGAAGCAGGAGTTGGTGTTATTCAATGTTGTACATAGACAAAACACGCAAGATTAAGAAGTCACTGATGGAACTGGATAAGTAGAATCATGAGATGTTACATGATGGTACTCTGACTGTGTTAAAACCTATGGCAAAACACAGAAGTTTTAGAAGTTACTGGTGGAACTGGTTAAGTAGAATCATGAGCTGTTATATGATGGTACTCATAGGTTTGAACACAAGTTAGACAAAATACATAAATTTTAGACGTCACTGATGGAAATGGATAAGTAGAATCATGAGATGTCATGTGGCAGTACTCATAGGTTTTAACACAGTCAGGTAAAACACAGAAGTTTTAGAAGTCACTGGTGGAACTGGATAAGTAGAATCATGAGATGTTATGTGGTGGTACTTGTTGATTTGAACACAGTCAGACAAAACACAGAAGTTTTAGACGTCACTGACGGAAATTAAAAGGCAGTAGCAGATGTTGTTCAATTTCTTGAGATTGGACACATTCAGATCGCAGTAGCCCAACTGACTTAATGATAGGAAGTATTTACAAGGACTCAACTAACGTTTCGATAATTATATGACTGAAGTAGTGAAACTCGTATATAAACAGCGGTTAAAACACAGGGGGAACCAGGAGGAAAGCTCCCCATCTAAGAAATTCGCTAAGGAGAGCCCATCTAGCTATATAGAACAAATGATCAAGGGAACTGAAACGATAATTGAAAGTATGTGGAGGAACTACATTGAGGATAATACGATTGTACACGATAATTGGTCTCCATCAGGCAAGTTACATGGATATAGGAACCTTTAACATTGTCACTTAAAAGCGTACAAGGTCTTGCGACTCAGGTCGTCATCAAAATTAATGGTGATTAAAAATTCAATCTCCAAATAACAAAAAAACTCTTGTGACGGCAACGCTGATGGTAAATAGGAAGGAAGAAATACACTGTCTAAGACTGAGACAGTCGATGAGGTCTAAGAAAACAGAACGGTGCACCTACTGTCCTGGACAAAGGCGGATTTATCATTTTTGCCGCCCATAGGCACCAAACTTATTGGCGCCCATTCGTAATAGTGACACATTGTTGACTTTGTTGCCATATGCTCATATATTTTATAGTGTATTTGAAACAAAAAAATGTGTACAGACTTTTTTTATGTTTGATATTTATTGTTTTTACTATTCTGAAAATTTGCCATCTTTAAAATTTGCCGCTCTAGGCGCGTGTCTATAAGGGCCTATTGGGAAATCCGAACTGGTCCCGTACTATGCAGAATGTAGTCTTTGAAGTGTGATGAATCAACTTTAAACCCTTGAATTGTGGCTTCAAATCCTGTCGGTCAACCCCTTCCCCAGGGCTCCAAATTCCCACTTTAATAACCACTGTGTATAAGTATGCATTAAAAGTGTAGTTTACAGTTAACGTTCTGGCGTTTTAGACCTTTTGTACTTGTATGTATTTTTAACGTTTATTATTCTATAACAACATAAGTAAATTAAATGCTAATTCTTAACAAGTTTCGTAAACTAAATTATTTAGAGCATTTTTATATTCAATTTAGTATCGACATTCTGTTATGAAGACTTCTTTCAAGATCAGATTGCCAAAAAGAAGAAGGATCATTCTTATCGAATCTTTAAGAAAGTGAATCGCATAGCAGGAGGTTTTCCTCTGGCACAAGAACACACTGACGGCAATCATCCCATTACAGTCTGGTGTAGTAATGATTACTTAGGAATGAGCCGACACCCAGAGGTTAAGAGAGCAGTAATGTAAGTAGTGTACGAGCTGTTATGATGACAAAAAGTATTATATGAACAAAAATTAGTTTATTTGGTGTGATTTGTTTTGTATTTGTACAGCTACATGATTTATGAAAATAAACTCAGCACTCGTCATTTTTTAACGTTTTAGTTTTGTGTATATATATTGTCAAACGAAATGTAATAGCTCTCAATAGGAAACGAAAACAAACAAAGTATTAATTATGAATGAAAGTTACGTCAAGCGAATTTACTCGTGTAAGACAGCTATCAGTAATTTTGGTGTAAAATGCTCAAGCTGGCAAAACAGTGAAGTTTTTTAGGCCCAACCAGTCCAATAAAATGATGTTTAACCGCAGATGTTTTTCATTTACATTCCTTTTGTTCTTTAGGTTTTCCTGAGCAGTGATTTATGGCAGACAGAATGCAAGTCTGAAATGTTGTTATACACGTCTGATTAAAAACGTGTAAAGTACTAACTTAGAAGAATGTGAAAATAATAATTATCTGTTGTCAGTCTTTTTCTTAAAGTCAACTTAGCTGGTGCTCGTATGTAGGTCAAACTACATCTCCCTGGTGGTCATACCGTGGTTTTATCTCGTGCTTTGAGCTACTATACTTTATGCTATTAAAAAAATTTGAGGCAGTTATCTGTAGAATATATTTTGTTATTTATAACTCCTTCATTTAATTATTTGTAAATAGAACGTGATGTGCTCTGGAAGCATCACGCTGATGTCAGAAATTTAATTTAGTTTTATGTAATTATAATGTTTATATTTAAAAAAATAGTGTGAACACTAAATACTTTAAAACTGTATTAATTCACGAATTTTTATATCTATTATTGGCAAGAGACAATAATGTAAAACAAAGATAACCACGATTTTTTTTTTTGTTTAAAACTAATTATCTTCTTGACGTCCCATTCTCACTTAACAACATTTTCAAGCATAGGTATGCCTTTAATTAAGTTAGAGGGCGGTGTAGCGTATTAAAATTATATTAATCGCCTTCCCACGACTGTTTAATTTTGTCATAAACTTCAATATCCTACAATGATAAATATAAGTATAGTTCTCTGAGCAAATCTACAGTTAACTGACGACAAACAAGTTGTGATTATTTGGCATAGAAATATGGGTGTGAAGCCGTGCGTAGCATTATCTCATGAAACACAACTTGTTCAAAGCTCACCCGTGTTTACCTGGTGTTTTAGTGAAGCTGTTGAAGCACATGGATGTGGTGCTGGTGGAACCCGGAACATATCGGGAAATTCTCCGTTTCACGAACTTCTGGAGAAAGAACTCGCCCAACTGCACAACAAAGAAGCAGCTCTACTGTTCACGTCATGCTTTGTGGCCAACGACTCGACCTTGTTTACCTTGGCTAAAAGCCTGCCGGGTAACCCTCTAAACTTGTTTTGTAGTTATCTTGTTCCAGTGTATAGTTTTAGTTCGTATTCATTCTAGTAATGGTGTTTAGGCCGACAATTCACAAGAACGAAACAATACTTTTATCTTTGTGTAATTATTTCTAGCTCAAATTAATGCAGAGAATATTTTGAAAGTCATATAAACTGTTACGACAGTTACATTTATTTTTCGTGAAGTATGGTTAGTTTTACGCTAATCCTATAAAGCTGTATAGCAGGGGATATTAATTAATAATACATCAACAGATCAAGATAAGGACTTTTAACTTCCACATGTTCTCCTAACGAGATAGAAGTTTAAAAAACCTACATTTAGGGAGTATTATACTGAGTGGAAAATAAAAACTGTACAATTACAGGTGGTTTTTATCTACAGCTGCTAAATACACAACAAACGAAAAGCTTATGGGTGTGTTTGTTAAAGACTCAAGTGTTTGGTTTTATTCCTTTACAAATACATTTATATAAATGGAAGCCTAAATAAGCACTTTATATGAAATTATTATAAAAATTAGATTGAGTATTAAATTTCTGTTACGTTGGGAAACTGAATTAGTTTACTTACATATAAATGTTTGTCAAAAAATGTTTGAACATCTATTTTGACAACATATCTCTTCCACGGTTGTTTGTGTGTACTTGGTTAAGCGAAGTAAAACAACGCTTTAAGGCAAATATCCGGGTCAACGTTTCGGCTAGATTGCCTTCTTCACTTTAACTGCACTTGTTTGTTAACCCTAATAATTGGTAGGTAGTAGTAACAGGAATACTCTATCAACACACCATAATAGTCAGAAATTGTGTGAAACAAGTCTACCAAAGTATCATTTATTATACACAGATAGCTCCAAAACTACGTTGTTAAAACTTTCAAAAATTAATTTTTTTCAATAGGGCGAGTGATTTATGTTTAATTATCAATTATTACAGTTATTATGTTAAGTTTTGGATTGTATTTGATATCGGGTATAACCTCTATGCTATATTCACCCTAGAAGAGTGGTTGCTAAAGTAATCAACACAAGATGGTTTAGAACATGAATGTTAAAGTATACAACGCGTAAGATGGCTTAAAACGTGATTGCTAAGGTGTACATCATGTAAGATGATATAAAACATGGTTGCTAAGGTAAAAACACGTAAGATGATTTAGAAGATGGAGGCTAGGGTACAATACATAAAATTGTTTAGAACGTGATTGCTAGGGTATATAATACGTAAGATGGTTTATAACGTGATTGCTAAGGTAGACAACACATAAAATGGTTCTTAAGATTTTTGGAATTGGTGTTAACTATCATGTTCTGTGTATGCTTGATCTCATTTTGATTACTAAGTTTCCATGTTTGAATTGTATTGAGTGTGTTGGGAAATACAGTGTCTACATGACAACTTGGTTGTTAAAATTCAACATGTGAGCGTTTGTTATTAAATACAATATTTTCTGTATCCTCACCTGGTTGTAAACATTCAAGTAGTATAATCATAAATATGAATCCTGTATTTTTCCCCCCACATTTCTCTCTGTTTTAGTCATTGGGTGTTCAACAAAGTTGCCTTCTGAGCAATATATTAATAAACATGTTGAACATTCTGAAATGTACAGAAAAACTAGATAAATAATAATTTGGCTCACCAAAAGAGAATGGTATATTTCAGTGCAGGTGGAGACTATGCGAAACCACAGCCAAGGGAATGGGCTTGTTAAAATCAGTGGTGAAAATATTATGATTAACAGTGTTTAAAAAGGCAGTAGCATAAACATAAATTTTTTATCCAAATTATGTTGACAAGACTTTACTTGCCATGGTAACACACTTTATTTCTATACTCTGAAGGCTGCCACATATTTTCTGATGCTGGAAATCATGCTTCCATGATACAAGGAATACGGAACAGTGGGGTGTCGAAGCATATCTTTCATCACAATAATCCAGAACACTTGGAAGAACTTCTGAGCAAAGTTGACATTAGCATTCCCAAGATTGTGGCATTTGAAACTGTCCACTCAATGACAGGTAGGAATCAACTGTACACTAACAGGTAGGAATAAACTGTACACTAACAGGTAGGAATAAACTGAACACTAACAGGTAGGAATAAGCTGCCCACTTATTGTTCGGTAAGCAATAGGAATAAACTTTTCACTTGGTAAGCAATAGGAATAAACTTTTCACTCGGTAAGCAATAGGAATAAACTTTTCACTCGGTAAGCAATAGCAATAAACTTTTCAATCAGTAAGCAATAGGAATAAACTTTTCATTCGGTAAGCAATAGGAATAAACTGTTCACTAAGTGACAGATAGGAATGAACTGTCCCCTCAATGGCAGACAAGATTAAGCTATCTGCTCAGTGGCAGATAGGAATAAACTATCATTTCAGTGGCAGTCAAAATTAAACTATCTGCTCAGTGGCAGGTAGGAACAAACTATCCACTCAGTGGCAGATAGGAACAAACTGTCCACTTAGTGGCAGTCAAAATTAAACTGTCTGCTCAGTGGTAGGTAGGAACAAACTATCCACTTAGTGGCAGACAAGATTAAACTGTCTGCTCAGTGGTAGGTAGGAACAAACTATCCACTCAGTGGCAGATAGGAACAAACTATCCACTTAGTGGCAGATAGGAACAAACTATCCACTTAGTGGCAGTCAAGATTAAACTGTCTGCTC